CAGGGCTTCCAAGAAAATTAAATTTCTGCATTAAATGACCCATAAAGGAGTTGTTATGCCATATTTTCATCTGTAAAAGTCGGTTATCAATGAAGCAAAAATTGCAGGGAGAAACAACAATTTGGCACATGGAGAAGAAACTGTTAATGGATGTAATGTCGGGATGTGGCTTGAGAAAATTCGCTTCGGAAATGTGAATATCCAGTATGAATCTTTGAGGAAGATGTAACGATGATCAATTGAAACAACTGAGGAAGATAACCACGCGAAGAATTTATGTGTTTTCTGCAAATCTTGGAATTTCTCCAGTGATTCTTTCTTGTCACTTAGCCTCGATAGGAAAGGTGAAAAAAAAAAAAAATATGGGCAAACGGATTTCGCTGATAGAAAATCAGAAACTGTGTAACTTTGTAGTGTGCTTGAAACAAATACTAACCCGTTTCTAAAACGTATCATTGCGATGAAAAATGAGTCCGTTATACGGTTATAATTTTAAATCTATTTTCATATTAAAAGAAAGCCTTATTTTTTTTGTATATTATACTGTCTTAATTTTCCTCGGTCAAAACCCGATCTTACGTGTGGTACAACTTAAATTAGGTTTGTGAAAATGTTTTAAGCGACCTCTTTTTAAAACGCCACAGACTGAATAGACAGTAATAAACTGTTTCTTATTTAGTTTAAAAAAATTAAAAACAAGAGAGAATAGAAAGAAAATAGGATACTTTTTCAAGCACCTAATTTATGACTGCTGGATATATAAGTAATAATTGTTGCTTGTTACACAACCTCAGAAGGCCATCGCACTCGGGAGAATTGTATAATCGACTCTTTCTACCTTCAATGTGGATCTAGGTTTAGTAAATAACAATTAGAGTCGGTCATACAATTTTTCACACACACACACACACACACACACACACACACACATATATATATATATATATATTGGGAAAAGTGGAGTGGGTGCATATATTGAGTAAAATGGGGTTGATGCACATAACTGAGATGAGCGGAGGATGCATATCGTGTGATGGATGCGCAAAATCACACACGCGCGCACGTACACACACACACACACATATATATATATATATACATGATTGAAAAATGAAGTGGATGCACATACTAAGATGAACAGGTGGATGCATATCATGTGATGGATGCACATTCCTTTTATATACACACACACACACATATATATATATATATATATATATATATATATATATATATATATATATATATCTTTATTGTTATATTTTAATCATATTAAATTCGTAAATTTTAATCAAACTTCAACAATAATAATTAGAATAGATGTCACTCAAGAAATAACAACACGGAAGTATTTTGTTTAAAGTTATCTCCCCTGATGTATGCGTTCACTCGTAAAAATCTTTCAACGTATAATTATTGTTCAATGCAGATCCAACAGCTTCTAAGGATAGTGGCATAAGTCCACACCTTTTGTGGCTGATCCACTTGGATTTAAACCCGAACGTCTCTCAACGGAAGTCTTCGAAAATCGATGGAGGTTGCTATGAATGGGAATAACCGAATATAAAGAGAGAAGTAATATCACTGATCTTTGCGGTGATTGGCTAAAAATTTGGCTAAATTAAAGCATATTTCTCTATGCATATATACGATTGGTTGATGAATATTTTCTCGGTCTGTTGATAGGAACATTTATGTGAGAAATAATGAAGCTTTAAGAAGATGGAAACAAAAAGTTCACTTGTAATTGAAATCAAATAGAGAGAGTTGAATATTTGGGGAGGAAAGAGGGATTGGTGAATTTGATTCTGATAGAACATTCTGAAGACAGAGGGTAGCATCGAGTAACCTAGCTAACGATCTTGGAAAAATGGATGGCAGAACAGGGACTGCGGGTGGCTAGTAAAGGGAGAGACTACGCTTAAAGGTACAAAAGAAAGAGCAATGATCGCTCAAATTCTGAAATCGCACGGCCCATAAAAAGAAAGAGATTTTTTATCATTTTTAGTCATTTTCAATGTGGCTTTATATCATAGTTGGTGATGATCAACAGGTAGCTAGATATAAGGATTTGCATACTGAGATGAATGGAATGGATGCACCTATTTAGATGAACGGAGTGGATGCACATATGGAGATGAATGGAGTGGATGCACATATTGTGATGAATGAAATGGACGCACAGATTGAGATGAACGGAGTCAATATGGAAATGAATGGAGTGGATGAACGTACTGAGATGAATGGTATGGATGCACATATGAAAATGAACGGAGTGAATGCGCATATTTAGATGAATGGAATGGATGCACATACTGAGATGAATGGTATGGATGCACATATGAAAATGAACGGAGTGAATGCGCATATTTAGATGAATGGAGTGGATGCACATACTGAGATGAATGGTATAGATGTACATATGGAGATGAATGGAATGGACGCACAAATTGAGATGAATGGAGTCGATGCACACTGAGATGAAAGGATTGGATGCACATAATGTGATGAGCGGGGGATACACATATTGTGATGAATAAGATAGATGCACAAATTGAAATGAACGGAGTGGATGCACATATGGAGATGAATGGAGTGGATGCACATATTTAGATGAGTGGAGTGGATTCATGGAGTGGATATACATATGGAGATGAACGGAGTGAATGGACATACTGAAATGGACGGAGTGGATGCACATAGTGTGATGGATGCACATACCGAGAGTGTGATACTTTGAGCTATTTGCATATCTAGGATGGTTTTTTTCTAAGTTTTGTATACATTTTTGAACAATAATCTTCACCGTACAAACTACAAGTTGGTTTGACCAATTGACTAATCCCAATAATTTCATATTAAGTATCGCAGATTTTATATACATACAAGTATATTGGCTACTAAGTGGTACAGGTTAACAAGTAGACTTAGTCTTACCGCAGCCACCGACAAAAAAAAAATCAAATTATAACCGTTAACTCATTGAACTGTATTTGGAGGTAATTCAGAAGATGACCGACTTGTCTACTACTCATGAGTTACCAAATACAAGTGCCGGCACGATTAAATTCTTTACTTCAATTTCCCTCTCCCCCGGCTTGTCCCGTCCCGCTCCGGTTCACCCCGCCCCGGTTCAACCCCCGCCTCAGTCCGATACTTATTTGGAACGGTGCTTTTATTTTTCTAAACTTTATCCGGTGCAGTTATCCAAACTGGAAGTTTATTAAACTTATTTAAAAATTCCCAGCGGAACGTTTATTTGAAACAGGTAGGCTTATTTTAGAAGTTAAAAATTTTCTCCACCGGTACGACTATTCCAAATAGCAATTGTATTCGCTACAAAAGGGTAATTATATTTTGGGTCGCTAAAACAAATAATGACTGAAAAGATTATATCTCTGCGGATATTTATTTATATAAATTTGGTATTGTTTTATACAAAACATTTGGTAAAGGCATGAAAACAAACTTCCTTATATCGAGAGTCCTGGGTATGACGTTAAACTGCACCCAACAGCAAGGCCTCTGATCAGGAGGTTTTGAGGAACGTGGAACCACCTCTTAATTGCTGGTGTTCCCAGGTCCACCCTGACCCGGGGTGGTAGCACCTGTTAGGGTCCCAGCTATGGGCAAATAGTGAACTCACAGTTTTTTCCAGACCTTACCCATGTCCTGGGTATGACGATAAACTACATCCGCGTCCTGGGTATGACGATAAACTACGTCCAACAGCAAGGCCTCTGATAATGTTTTTGAAAAAATAATGTTGCCAGCTATACGTTTAATAGTACTATGTATTTAATATATATATATATATATATATATATATATATATGGAAGCAAATATATGGGTATAAATCCGACAGCATGAAAGAAAAATACAGAAAAAAAAACAAAATTCTGAATATGCATTATTAATGTTAAAATAAAGTCGACGTCGGACGTTTCGGTCTATTTAAGACCATCTTCATGGACATTTTCATTTAAACATAATTAACATTATAACTTATAACAATTTAACACAAAAGACGATGGACATAAGAGCCCAACTAATTCAGACAGATAACTGAAATTTTATACAGATCAGCGTTCTGTTTAAATATGATCACGTAGTCGTCACGTGGGCGATGTTGTTAAGACGTATTCGAAGATGATTTCAAAAATTAAAAAATATCAAAAAGTCGAATGATTGTTTTTTCTGTATTTTTTCTTTCATACATATATATATATATATATATATATATATATATATATATATATATATATATATATATATATATATATAACTAGATTTTATTAAATGACCTACAGTGGTTGATATGCCATAAAACCCAACCAACCAACCAAGCTATATCGAGACGAGTGTCATTTCAGTTCGATCAGAAGTCAGTGCCATGCATTTTTCTTTTATATTAGCCCGATCGACCTTCATACATTACTTCCCAACAACGCCTGGCTTCATGTATCGCAAATAAAATATGTTAACTCACGTCTTTTTTCATAACTTCTAAGAGTAGAGACTTCAATTCAGCCAGACTGGCGTTCATTCGAGCTCTTCTTCGTTTTTCCATGATAGGCTTCGAGCTCTACAAGTAAAGGGTTAATAAATAGTTAAATAAATACAATTAGATAAAAAACAAAAACAAAAAAAAACAAACGTATTGTAAAATAATTCAGTGATTGTAATGCAAATTCACCTGCAAATCGAGACATCATATTCACAATGTTCAGCTATTTTCACAGAGCAAAAAAAAAAAAGACATTTTAATTGCGTTTATCGCCAAATTTTTGTCTCGCTACATAAAATTTGACAAAGATAAGCCACAAAAAAAGATTTTTAAGATAAAAAGTATTCATAAATAGGAGCTTTGAGATTTTAGAATGATCCTTTCAGGTCTGAATTTCTGGGGTGAGGAGTTATCATTAATTGCATTCGTACTATTGTCCTCATCTTTATTTTTGCTATCACAATCTACCCGTGTAAATTTAATAAAGTGTTCAGTTCGAAATTCCGCGGCGGTTACCCGGTTCAACAAACTCTTGAAGAAGGCCGGAGAGATTATAAGGTATTGTATATAATATAATTAAAATAATTATTATACGTTGGAATAGGCGACTTTTTACCATGGTCATTCGATTAATTTAGTATCTATGTACATAAACATCTACCTATCCACATGAACATCTATCTATCTATCTATCTATCTATCTATCTATCTATCTATCTATCTATCTATCTATCTATCTACATAAACATCAATGTATGTATGTATGTATGTATCTATCTATCTATCTCCATAAACATCTATGTATGTATGTATGTATGTATGTATGTATGTATGCATGTATGTATCTATGTATGTATCTATGTATCTATCTATCTACATAAACATCTACCTATCCACATGAATATCTATCTATCTATCTATCTATCTATCTATCTATCTATCTATCTATCTAAACATCTACCTATCCACATGAATATCTATCTATCTATCTATCTATCTATCTATCTATCTATCTATCTATCTATCTATCTAAACATCTACCTATCCACATGAATATCTATCTATCTATCTATCTATCTATCTATCTATCTATCTATCTATCTATCTATCTATCTAAACATCTATGTATGTATCTATCTATCTACATAAACATCTATCTATTTATCTACATAAACATCTATCTATCTATCTACATAAACATCTATCTATCTACATAAACATCTATGTATGTATGTATGTATGTATGTATGTATCTATCTATCTATCTATCTATCTACATAAACATCTACCTATCGACATGAATATTTATCTATCTATGTGTGTGTGTCTCTTTCACTATTTTTGTGTGTGTTTATGTGTAAGCGTCCGTTTGCGCGCGTGTGTGTGTGTGAGAGAGAGAGAGAGGGAGAGAGAGAGAGTTCATACAATAGATTCGTTGAAGAGGAAAATCGATGTGATTGCCATCATAGAGAAACACTTAATATATCATTATTTCGTCTTGCAGACTTCATTCTCGTCTTGTGACTGAATTGCTTTGTTTCGTTTTCTTTTCTTTTCTTTTCTTTTATTTACCTTTTCGCTGCGTTCTTCACATTGTATGTTACTTGGGCGTGACCTTTGTCCTCTTTAGTAATTTAAACTAAATCACGCGCTTTCCTGGCGCTATGGCTGTCTTTACCTCTTTTGCGTGTCAAGGACGGGTGGAAGATTCAACATTTGTAAATTAAATTCAGATCAAATTCAGGCAAATATGATTTGTTTAACCATTCAATTCACTTAGTTTTGAATTTGAAACAGTGTCGTTTGCATAAAATTAGATATTCAAGTTAAACCCCAACGACGACGGTCTGTTTCATGCTTAAACGCAGTCTTCAGACTATGTGTGTTGTGTTTTAACAATATGAAAACTTCCAATGAATTATGTGGCTATCAAATTTGTGATTCGGAGGTCTATTCGCACGTAATATTCTGCACCTACAAATATCAGGGAGCTCCGTACGTCTATTGAAATGGCAAAGCTCAACATCTTTCTAGAAGTCTTCCAGTTTTCTACTTTTAGAATCGACGTCACCTTAAAAATCAGTTTAAAATGTTGTAGACAATCTGGAAAAATTTTTTAATGGCCCATAGCATCTAATCTATTTAGAGAACTGTTATATACCGTACCTATAAACACTAATGGGTATGTTCCAATCCTCATAAATATTTTGGACGCTATTGTTAGTGGGGGTAATATGCTGTATAAGTCGTCCACCACTAGCAGTGGTTTATCTACTTCACGCCGCTGGCGAGTATTGTATTTTGTAGATGTTATAAAGATTACCATTTCATTTTCAATCTCCGTTTTGGTTATTCCTCTTTCAGTAACCATTTCTCGGTGGCAACAAGAACAAAAGTAATAGTTTATTTGCCTAAGAAATTATAGGAGTACCAACCTTTCAGATTTATATTTTCTTAAGTGCTAAGATCAACAAAATCATTATTTTGTCACAAAATGTTCCAGAAAAATATGTTTTAACTCTAGATAGAAGTATGTCTACAAAACAAAACTTCTGTCACATGATCTTCAGACATGTAAGTATATGTGGTATAAATATAAAAAGTTTCTTTAACTACTTAACTGATAAGCTGATGTCATGAATATAGGCAAATGTAAGGATGTTCAGAAATGAAGCAATTTTCAAACAGTAATACTGACATTTTTATAACAGTGATAAATATATTTACTGCATAGAAATAATTTATTACATCATAAATGACAGGAAAACTAATCCGACTTCTGTATCTGACATAATTTGTAAAAGAGAAACTCTCAAAGGAAACAGCATTCGTTTTGCATGTAGCAATTTCGGCCATTTTCAAGTACTTACAAAAATAAAAAATGCGGAAGACACACCTTAGCTGTTATATTTTTGTAATCTAAACTAAATATTAACTATTGTTACCATGATTCAATGCAAAATACTTGGAGCTATGTATGTCAGAAATTCTTTGAAAACCTTATTTAATAAAACGTCAAAAATGCAGTGAAATTTCAATATGCTCCTATTTTAAATCCATTAAAGATGCAGAGTTAATAGATTTAGCAATTAATTTGAACAAGGAACGCCTGCGAATTTTCCCATATTTTTCTGAGTGGCCATTGGGTGATTTGAGAAGGTATATATATATATATATATATATATATATATATATATATATATATATATATATATATATGGGTCATATAGTTGGCTGTTGCTACATATCCTAATAGAGATATGCTATTGAATGGAAGAACTGAGATCTTGTCAAAGTGCAGGCATTTAAGTAAATATCTTTTAGGTATGTATGAACCCGGATGAGGGCATTGAATAATTTTGTCCCTCCTCCCCTCCTTTCCTCTAACTCTTCCACCTTTCATTCTCTTTTCCTGTGGTCATATAAGTTGGTGGAATATACTAGATTGTTCATCCTCCTACTTGCCTGATGTTGAATCCCGTGTAGCAAGATTGCTTTTTAGTGTTTTCGCATATATATATATATATATATATATAGGTCATTATATATCAGGGTTTCCGATCCTGGGTGATATCGCCCACCGGTGGACGATTTCAACTGTTGAGTGGGCAATGAATAACTGAACAGAAAATGATGGGCGATTGGTAAGTTTTGGGGCCGATATAAGATTTTGAGTATTAAAAATGTATTTCAAAATAGAAATTAAACGAGAAATGCAAAGAATCTGTACAAAAAACCCCCAAAAAACAAAAAAAATAAACAACAAAAAGCAGGATGCGAAATGGCAATCACTAGGTCACATTCCTAGATAAGATATACCGCAAACTACGAATATGTTGGTAGTTTGTATAGTTTTAAGAAAGGTCATTAACATTCAAATATTTCTCCAGACGAAATAACATTTTTGGTGGATATAAATCAGATAAGGGAAGACCAAAAACAAAACCAAAAAGAATTTCGCTGAATTTTGGTTTGTTGCTAATTGTGTATATTCTTTTTAATTTTATAATTATGAACAAAAATGGTTTAGTTTTTTTTTTAACAGAAGCAATGCTAATCCTAACCATAAAACTAACCTTGATCATAAAACTATATTATAGATAACGTTTTCAATGGTCAAGTGTGCTTTTGTTTGTTTTTTCATACCGTAGTAGCAGCAGCAGCCGCAAGAGACGCCGCATAATTCAGAGTTAGCTCCCTTTGGTATATTTTACTATATCATAAAGTCAGTTTTTGAACTAGTATAAAACCTTTACCAAACGATTTTGTTATAACTTTTGTATATTTATTATACAGGTAGGCGGTGGAAAATTTTTCTATGTTAAAGTGGGCGATGACGCAATGAAGTTTTGAAACCCCTGTTCTATATATATATATATATATATATATATATATATATATATATATATATATGTGTGTGTGTGTGTGTGTATGTGTGTGTAAAATGAAAGAGATATGTGTAGAAGATCGTTTCCTAAAGTTCTTTGAAACAAACATTACACATATCGAAATGTTGGCTTACTACAATTTTACTATTTTCAATTTATTTTTATCATAACATTCAAATTGACTAAAAATAAGTGGCTGTAAATAAACTGAATATATTCTTTGGTCAGAAAAGCAGTCTTTTGAAATGCGCTTATCAGCTTTGAAGAAAGTTTTTTTTTTTGTTTTTTTTTTGTAATATCTTCTGGGGTATTTTTTTTTTTTTAATTATTTTTCCTTACAATCTAAACTCTAAAATCTTCTCATGCCGTGGTCACTCAAAGTACTTATGAAATACCTAAAGAACCAAAATGACTTTAATGTGGTTGTGCCTGCGTTTTTTTTTCCCAAGAAAAAAAAAGAAACATTCTCATTCAGTATAAATAACGTATTTCAAAATATCTCAGCTGTAATAAAGTTTTATCTCGATGTATAAGTCTGGACTCTATATATAGCGCTGACATTGGGGTACCTCGAGGTGCTGACATTGGGGTACCACGAGGCAGTGCAATAGCTAATAAGCTTGTCACGCGAGAACAATTTCAACTGAATAGTGAGTTCGACCCTCGCTGGGTGCT